TCAATTTTTCCTACTGGTTTCAACTTTGTTCCACCATATATGCTTCTAACATGATGCCAGATTCTTTTAATTTGTGACACCCATTATCCTTACAAAATCCTTGAAAAATTTTCATTGGTAATATATTTACTTCAGAGCCTGTATCAATCTTGAAACTTATGTTCTTATCATGTTCCTTTATATCTTCAACCCATATTAATTTATTTTTATTTTCTACTTTACCAACTGGCTTGATACTTCTTCTACACTGTCGTCACTGTCTATTTCTTTCTGTACAAATTCTTTAATTTTTTTAACGTTCTTTCCCTGACGGTTTTCAAATTTTTCCGCTAGGCAAATACTACTATAACGATTATCTTTACCACACTTGAAGCATTTTTTTCCAAACGCAGGACATTCTGCGAATCCATGTTTACCGTTGCACTTTTTACAGAGATTTTTTTTTATCTTGCCATCTATTTTCTCTTTTCTTTTCAACCTCAATGCATCTACTCCAGAACATTCTTTTTCTCTTACTGACTGTAACTGATTTTTCGTTGCTTTTACATATGTCTACTGCTTTTTCAAGTGGCAGTTTGTGTATATTCAATAGTTTTTCTTGAACATTTGGATAATTTGTTCCTAATATGATCCTATCAATTAAAATACTATCTTCTTGGGTATCATATTCACAGCTTTGAATTAACTTTTTTAACTCACTGAAAAAATTATCAAATAGCTTATCTGTACCTCGATTACGGCTATTGAATACAAAGCGTTCATAGGTTTTATTTTTTCTCGGAGCAGGTTTACGTCATTTTTCATTGGTTCTGGAAACCTTCCGTCCATTTTACTTCTCAGGAATGCTTACCAATGGTTCTTCATCGACTGCGCCATGTAATAATATTGTTATACTCAATATAGTATCAAGTTCTTTATTAAATTAAAAATAAAGTATGTTTTTTTTTTAAAGATAATTCCCCAAGTCAGAAATTTAGTAACTATGTTGGCAACACAAGCCTTTTCTGCATGAAAAATTTGAAAGCATTGACAATTTTACATTGTATTGCCAACATAATGTCTTTTGACTTTTATCTTAAAAAAAAAACAGACTTTATGATACATCTATGATGTGAACAATATCTAACCAATCATTATTATTTCTATGTCAACATTAGAACTGAAACTCACCTATATATTTATTATAGGTGATGTACACAGTCTACTGTGTACATTAATTTAAATAAAATAGTTATTTATGTATCAAGGGAATTATGCAGGTGTTAATACCCCAGGGCAACGTTTGTGTCCCGAGGGCCTCCGGCCCGAGGGACACCAATTGCCCGTGGGTATTAACTCCTGATAATTCCCGTGGTACATAGATAATTTTATATCCTACTGAATTTACTGTATTCTGTCTATTTTTAGAAAGGAATAAGCCATAAATCAAAATTTCTATTTTTTGTCAAAGTGTTACCTATTCAAGGTAAAAGCGGGAGATATGGAAATCCTTAACTCCCTTGGGAGTTATGATATCCTTAACTCCCTTCCTTAACTCCCTTGGGAGTTATGAAAATCCTTAACTCCCTTGGGAGTTAAGACCCTGTTTATGATTATCGTAACCAAGGTATTATATGGTTTTAATAGTTCAGTAGGATATAATAGTTATGTATGTATCAAGGGAATTATGCAGGTGTTATTACCCCAGGGCAACGTTTGTGCCCCGAGGGCCTCCGGCCCGAGGGACACCAATTGCCCGTGGGTATTAACTCCTGATAATTCCCGTGATACATAGATAATTTTATATCCTACTGAATTTACTGTATTCTGTCTATTTTTATAAAGGAATAAGCCATAAATCAAAATTTCTATTTTTTGTCAAAGTGTTACCTATTCAAGGTAAAAGCGGGAGTTATGGAAATCCTTAACTCCCTTGGGAGTTATGATATCCTTAACTCCCTTCCTTAACTCCCTTGGGAGTTATGAAAATCCTTAACTCCCTTGGGAGTTAAGACCCTGTTTATGATTATCGTAACCAAGGTATTATATGGTTTTAATAGTTCAGTAGGATATAAATATATTTATTATTACAGTTTCAGGAGGCTTTTCGTCTTTTTGCAGTTTGAGGGACCTTGTATAAAGGTCTTTGACTGCCTGAGGACTCTTTGATCCAGCCAATCGTCTTGAAAATAGTTGTTGGACCAGTTCCTGATGTTGATTTCACCAAGCATGAAGCAACTTCAAGTGCAGGCTCTGGCCCAATAAAGGCAGTGTTGCTACCTTCACGCGCCAGCTGGTCGGCCTTCCCGTTGCTTTTCATGTCCCTGTGACCCGGGACCAAAACAAGGGTCAGGCTCTAGCCAATCGTCCCTTGCAGAGATGACGACCTTGTACTGTCTAGGGAGGGCTGAAGTTATTGGCATTGCATCCATTCTGGTGAGAACTGTCTGATAGTATCGGTTCAGACCCTTGCATGTCCCATGTTCAGCCATCTATAAACCCATTTTCCCCAATCGTTTAGTTTGACTGAAGCCTCCAAAAGGAGATGAAAAGTCACTATTGGGGTGGTTCCAAAGGCTGCCATGCTGGCAAGTTTTTGGAACTTGTCCAGATTTACCCTGTAGGTGGATTTGCTAAGTGCGTTCTACCAAAGTAAGCTGCCCTACCTACGTGATCATTGGCCTTATCACTCTTTCTTGAGCATAAGAATCAAGGTGATCTTATCTTGTGAATAAGTCAAGTGGATGAGATATGGGACGAAGAGTAGCATGAAAATCACGATTTTAGTTGGGTGGTAACCTTAAATTATGAATAGTACCTAACTATTTTCATGTTTGGATCCTGTGCTCTGATACGTACATACTTTTCGCTTGTAAGCTGTTTCCTAGAGAAATTTTGGCTAGTTTGACGACTGACTTTTCTTCCTCTCGCTAACAATCGTCAGTTGTCCTATAGTAAGCGCTTCCTGGGCTTTTATTTCAATATTGTTTTGATTTTTAGAAATTTGTGCCCGTAGCATTGCTTTCTTCTATACAAATATCAAAGATAACCTCATGGAACGTTCGCCCACTCATGGACACAAACAAAAGTAATAGACCAGAAAAATGGCGATTGTGGCACGTGAGCTAACGATATACAACATTGATCCGCTGTCCTGAGAAGACCAAGACGTAGGAGGGTCAACTCACAGAACATACTATATTTTCTTCAGTTAAGAAAAAACTAAAAAGAACCCCGAATTCACGGGATGCTATTAAAAACTTTCTCGTCGGTCATCTTGAGTTTTCTTCTAGAATAAATAAGCGATTCATGAAGCTCGTAACCAACCAAAAAGCTGCCCTAATCAGTACATACGCTTCAAATTCAAATTACGACGCTAACAACTTCTGGATGGAACGTTGACAAACATGTCTCGATCTTACCGAGTTAATTTTGAGATCAACCCCCAAGATTCAGTTTAAATCAGTATCAATCCATTACTGGGTCTAGCAGAAAACCTTTTTTGCAATAGACCTATCTATTTTAACAGACAAAGAGGTAATAATACGAGAACTTCATTAGATAAATAAATACACAGAACGCTCATTGCGCAAGACAAGGCAAAACAGACCAAATTATGTTAGACTTACGTATAGCAATCCGTCCTTCTTATTTGCACGAGATAAAAAGAGAAAGAGAAAGACCCCGTGTTGTGCAACGCATTTGATAATGAAAATTTCGAACAACTTTTGAATGTCACTTGTCAAGCTATGTCAAGTTGAATATCAACCGTACTTTTATTCTTGTCAGACCACAGGCAATGAACATTGACAAGGACATGCACAGCGTGCAAAACGAACACCTCACACCTGTACTAGTTAGCCAATGAAAAGGCATTGCCTCGTGTTGCGTGCGCATACCAGGTAAAAATAGATAGGTCTATTGGAGAAGCAACTATCAACCAACTAATTATTGAAAACTTCAGAAAATATTGGAAAACTAGTATAAGTAGGAGAGCCGGCAATATTAACGGGTATGTGATCGTTGCAATGGATAATTTTCACATAAAAGAATAGCTCATAGTTACCTTTAAACTAAATGGATGGGTGGCCTCGATTCTCACGCCCTTTGATGGCTGGGCGTAAACTACCCCTCTTTTTCCGAAGGAACAATGTTATCGTTTCAATAGCTGAAAATTGGTAGATATATTCTTTAATATGTCTTCTCAAATAATACATAGGGTGGCCTGGATTTTGATGGCCGGAAATGATGGCAACCCTCATTGAAAGTCGGGCGCACGCGTTATTTTGCTTGCTGAATACAAATTTTTGAAAGTGACAGTCTTCAAAGTCACATTTATAGTTAAAAGAGGACTCTGTGAAGAGGATTTTGCATACGGCTGTAGGTCTTTAGACAAAAAAAAAACACATGAAATTGTGTTAATAAAGTGTTTGCCGCATATCAGGAGAACCCCCTACACCGCAAGGTACTTTTATTTGTTGCGCTTATGGTTCTTGAAGTATCTTTTTATAAAACAACTTTACGGCCATGAGAATCGAGGCAACCCATCCATTTGGTTTAAAGGTTACGATGAACTATTGTTTTATGTAGAAATTATCCATTGCAATGATCACATACCCGTTAGTATTGCCGGCTCTTGGACTATATCTATAATATATACCATTTCCAAATCCAAGCGGCAGTACATGACATTAAATAACCTAAATTGTAAGCAAACACCAGCCTTCCTATTGGTTGAAATGCCCTACCTGGACTAGTGCGCATGCAAGGAGGACATTTGATAGGTTGTAATGAAAATGACCAGTTATGTAATTTACTGCCGCTTGGATTTGATTCAACCATAGGTATACATATATGTAAGATTATAAACGTATGAAAGTGTTCATACACTATAAATATGCAACGTAAGTCGTAGAAGTGTTCCAGTTAGATCTTCGACTTTCATAGAGCTATCCAAGATAATTTTCCATTTCTGAAATGTGAATTGCATCATTGGCTAACTGATAAGTAATATTTTCTAGGTTCAAATCCCATAAGCAAATTATTTTCCCGAAAAAAATTGGATCCGGGTTATCATTTGAAGAAAGTCGTATTTGATACTGAAGATAACAATGATAAAAAAACAATTCTGGTAGATCCTGATGAAAAACTGAATCTGGTAAGAGATAAATTAATAAAAATTAACTTCTCACAAAGAATAGCTATTTATATAACGAGTACATAAAACAGGGCTTTATTGTACGAGCGAAACTATTAAATAATGAGTCAATAAAGCCTGTTTATGTAAGCGTTATATACATGATTTTATGTACGATTACGACTGGTTTTTATTGAAAATTGGAAAAATTGAATGAAAAAATTAAAATTCGAGTATACCTGTTTCACTTTGGCAGGTAGGCAATAAAGTAGTACTTTATTTTACTAGTAAAATAAAGTAGTACTTTATTTTACAGTAAAATAAAGTGCTACTTTATTGACGCAAAACTGTTCTATAAATAGCACTTTATTGGTCAATCGGACATAAATATACTTTTTTCTAGTTGAATTCGTTGAAGTTTATTGATGAAGAAAATAATAAGGAACAATCATCCGCCTCTGGAGACAATAAGCGAAAAACACTGGAAACTGATGAAACTGTAATGAAGGAAAGTATTGAAAGGAGAAAGGAAGATTTACTCAACTTATTAGATGCTTTGAAAGATGACAGAGAAAAAGCAAAAAAGTTATTGGATGAAATCATTAAATAAATGTTTATTTTTATTACTTGAAATAAACTGTAGGTTCTTATGTTATGTATATGCTTGTATTCATAAATTTTCTCGGTTATTTTATTAACCTTTTCGAAGAATCACAATTTCAATACCCAAGTGAGGTAATGTGGGCGGCAAAGCCACCGACAGAAGCAACCGGTCTTTAAACCTCGTGGTAGGTACCTACCAAGTTATTATGTAAAAACCTTCAAAACTGTTTTAACTAGGTGTATCGTGGTTTTAACTGTGTAGTAGGAAACAAACAACTGATGAGTAAACAAACAAAAATTAATTAGCCTACCGAAAATATATTTCAAAAAGTACGAGGTCGCGGGAGAGTTGTTAAAACGGTGCTCCATGGATTAATAAATCCATCAAAACATGATATAATAGCGGTTATAGAATGCTTACAATTACTTGATTCTAATTAAATCAACATATTTCATCAGTAAGTTTGAGGAGTGATTAAATTGATTTTTAAATGTGTCTTCATAAAACATAGTAGTTTCAAATCAGTGTTTTGTTCCGAATTGTCCCAAAAATGACTGTTACCTATACAAGTCAGGTGACTACAAGTACCGGTATTGGATGCTTCTTGAAACTTTTAAGAAGGTACTATTTATAGATTAGATTTATTTGGAATTAAATATTTATTTGCTGTGTTTAGATGGAGAGGCAGCATTTACAAAATAGTGTGGGCAGATCTTCTCCTCTTTCTTGGAATATACTATGTACTGAATCTAAGTTATTTATATGCAATGGATGAACATGCTAAAGGGTAAGTAAACTTGAACTTAGATGTAGTTGAACATACTTTATATTTTATATTTTAGGCATTTTGTAAAAGTTGTAAATTATTGTGCAAAGAATGGAAACCTGATACCACTAAGTTTCGTTCTGGGTTTCTTTGTGAATATCGTTTATAGTAGATGGTGGAGTCAGTTTCTGGCTATTCCAGGTCCTGATAACTTGGCCTTGTTGATTGGAGCACACATAAAAGGACAGGTGAGTGATGTACAAAGGATAAACTTTCAACAATTCAACTAGTAAAAAACTACTAATAAGCCAATAAAATAAACATAATATTACATTTTCTTGTAGGATGAACGAGCGAGAATTGTTAGAAGGACGATAGTGCGTTACGTATGTGTCGCCTTCACTATAACATTAACGATGATGTCACCGAAGGTGAAAAAGCGATTCCCAACGTTAAATCATTTTCTCGATGCCGGGCTTATTACGAAAGACGAAAAGCAAATTATGGAAGATTTGGATAAGGAATATCCCATTTATTCCAAAAACTGGTAGGTATTACTTTTTTGATTGTTGTGAAGTTGTTGGATTTTAAAAGGGGATCAAATGGTCCCGGTTTCTCAATTATTGAAGTCATTCTATGGAATAACGTTTTACAAATTCCTGTAATGCTTTTTGATTGAAAGTGCTGTTTCTTTCTCTGGCTCACTTCGAGCTTTTTGAATCTGATAGTTTTGAATTATAGGTACTTCCTAAAATTTCACTTTCTCCAAACTCATTTTCAAGCAATATCACTAGTCAGCAAAAGTCTATCTTATTGCTATGATAATAAACTGATTCTCCATCATTCCAAATTTTTCCTATCCTATTCTAATACTCATATAACTTTCAAGAATAACAACGAGGTACACAAAATAGGCAATGATTTGGTTTATGTCATATAAGTAAAAAATTATATAACGCGTGTACTCCATTTACGCAATGAGAGGCGTTTGATGCAAAAATGAGTGAGATGGAAATATCATTTCTGCATAAGTCTATCTTGTAATTCGGTCCGTCAAATCTACGCATGCCTATAATTACACAGCACTCATTGGTCGTCGAGCATCGTCCGTCCACTACGAAAACGAGATTATCGATCGTCTGAAAACCATGCTTACAACCCACCAATCACCTCAACTGCATTCAACGCATGCGCACTAGACCAAACCAGGCTGAGCGATAGACTTATGCGAAGTTGATATATCTGTCTCACACATTTTTGCATCAGGGTACAGCAAGAACACGCCTTATATAATTTTTTACTTATATGGTTTATGTTCCCTAACATTTTGGTATTTTTAGGTTACCTTTGGCTTGGGCAGCAAATGTTACTACAAGAGCCAGGCATGAAGGTATAATAAGAGATGATTCATCAGTGAGGGCCATCCTGGACCAAATCAATATTTTCAGAACGAGATGCGGAGAACTGTTGGCTTATGATCGAATAAGTGTACCACTGGTTTACACCCAAGTGAGTGATAATTTTTTATATTATGGTACGCTTATGAGGATATTGCCATGACTAGTAATAGTCTCAAAGGTAATTTACGCCATCACCCCTACGCACAGTCGTTAAGCTGTGCTAAGATCATGATTTGAATTTAAAAAAGCCTGCAATAATAATTATTATTCTGAATGTTTTTTTTTTGGGAGTAAGTCAGATTGAATTTGAATCACTCAACATAATCCACTTTTCAAGCTTATTTAGGGATTTTTTTAGGTTGTTACGATAGCAGTATACAGTTACTTTTTAATTACGGTAATTGGTAATCAATTTATAGAAGTAGAGGAAAAGTATGTTGACAGACTTATATTCAGTTTTCCTTTCATGCCTGTTTTGGAATTTTTCTTCTATATGGGATGGCTGAAAGTAGCTGAAACATTAATAAACCCTTTTGGAGAAGACGATGATGATTTTGAAGTGGTTTGGATGATCGATCGGAATATACAGGTAGGTAACAGAAAACCTCTCATAAAAATACTAACTGTCTTGACTCACTTGACTGATTTGTTTGGTGTGTACTAATTAACCCAAGTATAAAATTTTTCCTCCTTCAATGCTATCTGCACACATTTCAGCATCAGAATAGATCAAGATAATATTCGCATTACGACTTTAGAGCAACAGTCGCAAAGCAACGTTGGCACAACCATTCAAATATGACCAACATCAGGAACAACGTCAATTGGTCGTCGTCGGTTATACTCTTATTATGGATTGTGCCGCACCAGTACTACAACATACCTACTTGTTATTGACGTGTTACGTGCCTAAATTTCAGTCAATCAAGTTAGGAGATTGTTCAACATATTTTTGCTGCCTTTGGTCTTTTACTACTCTGTCCTTGCCTGATTTTGCCTAGCACTGAAAAAAAGGAAACCAATAGTATAAAATCTTCAATAAGTATATATTTCACATAATTATTCTCCATGAAGATATCCACAGCCCCTGGCGATCTCTGAAAATAAGATTGAATTGAGATAAGATAAGATCATATAGAGCAAAATAATTACCATTTTTTTGAGTTTTTACCATTGTGTTCTCTGTTCTGTGTTTTGTTCTGTAGGAATCAGGTGAATCAGCATTTGTTTTCCCTATTTTTGCAGAGGTTTCCATTGTGCAACTTTGAAAACATCAGGTTTCCAGCCTAAAATCTAAAATAATAAGAAAATTGAGATAGGGTTAGAATAGGAAAATGTACACAAATGTTTGTAGGGTTAGGAAATTGTTTAAGTCAGACACGGAACCAAAGTCAAATGTGGCACCAAAATTTGAATATTGAGTAGGTATTGAATGCGCAATATGCATTAATTCGAACTGTCCAAATATAAACGAAAAATTCCCTAAAATTCGATTCGTACCTATAACCAGAAATTCTATTGTTAGAGGAATTTTTCTTTTTCTAGAATCACGCAGAAGAGAAGCCACGTTATAGCTTTCTTCTGAGGCATTTTGGCCAATTTGAGTGAATATTTGGGAAGTAATCGAGTCTTAAACGGTGGTTATTATTCTTATATAACACCACAGCAAGTATTTGCTAATTTAACAAGATTTCAGTACGTAAAAACCCAAATTCTGGAAAATAAGTTTGATTCGTGTCACGTGTTGAGTTTCGAAAAGGCCAATCCACATTGGTAAGTCCCTATTATTCATCATTTTATTTTGTATTCTGATCCTTGTTAGAGTTTTATGTCCCCAAAAACGTAATTGATTGCAGTACTTACCTTCAGGGACGTCTTAAGACTTCTTGAGGCCCTGGGCCTATATGTCAAAGGAGGCCCCTTACCTACAGGGGGGGGGTGCTCTAGGGCATTCGACATGAATAAGTTAGAAAAACTTTTGAAATGTAAAAATTTAATGTATATATTGTGGAAAGAAAATAACAAATTACAAAGGTCGTTTTCTAGATTTTACAGAGGCAAAATCGTGAATTATGTCTTCAAAATCAACGATTTGTAAAATTTTGCTTTCAATACTCAAAAAATCATGGATAAAAAAATTCTCTTACCAATTTCATGTTTCCTCCCCATTTCTACTTCCTGTTTTTTTAGTTTTTCAATATCTATGCTGATATAGGATTTGAAATGGACACATTCCAAAATTAATTCATCGGTTTCTTTGTCATAAAATTGTGACAGTTTTACCGCTTCTCTTGAAATTTCAATTTCACTGAGGTCAGACATTTTTTCAAAAAAAACCGATTCTATCAAATATTTTGTTACCCGTTACCTTCAAGGAAAGTTACTTTGTCTTATCACTAGTGTCCTAATATCGCGAAAATCGTCTCTTTTTCTCTTATATATGCCATTATAGTTATTTATGTATCAAGGGAATTATGCAGGTGTTAATACCCCAGGGCAACGTTTGTGTCCCGAGGGACACCAATTGCCCGTGGGTATTAACTCCTGATAATTCCCGTGGTACATAGATAATTTTGTATCCTACTGAATTTACTGTATTCTATTTTTATAAAGGAATAAGCCATAAATCAAAATTTCTATTTTTTGTCAAAGTGTTACCTATTCAAGGTAAAAGCGGGAGTTATGGAAATCCTTAACTTTCTTGGGAGTTATGATATCCTTAAATCCCTTCCTTAACTCCCTTGGGAGTTATGAAAATACTTAACTCCCTTGGCAGTTAAGACCCTGTTTATGATTATCGTAACCAAGGTATTATATGGTTTTAATAGTTCAGTAGGATATAAATGATTTTACTGGACTACAAAGTGTGCGGTAAAGTGCACTCTACCGCATAGTGTGCGGTGAAGTAGAATTTGATATTTATAATAAAAAATCTTTTCTTTTTCAGAAAATGGATTTTTGTTAATTTCTAAATCTAATCTAATTTCATTAATTAATCTGATTCATTAATTAATTTTATCAATGCTTTTTTTTGGAGATGTGTAGATGCTCATAGGTAAAATTTTGTACCTAACACATGCGGAAAGTACCTTTATGTCCGATTGACCAATAAAGTGCTATTTATAGAACAGTTTTGCGTCAATAAAGTAGCACTTTATTGTACTAGTAAAATAAAGTGCTACTTTATTTTACTAGTAAAATAAAGTGCTACTTTATTGCCTACCTGGACTACCTGACAAGTTGAAACAGGTCCTGACAACCTGCCAAGGTGAAGCAGGTCTTGACAACCTGCCAAGGTGAAACAGGTATACCTACGCAAATTTTACTTTTTTCATTAAATTTTTTTAATTTTTAACAAAAACCAGTCATAATCGTACATAAAATCATGTATATAACGCTTACATAAACAGGCTTTATTGACTCATTATTTAATAGCCTCGCTCGCAAGCTCGCTCGGCCATAAAATTATTCGTACAATAAAGCCTTACTTTATGTACCTACTTGTTATATAAATAGCTATTATCGCATTTTTGACAGTAATGTGATACATAACTGCATTCAAAATTGAGTGGTAAAGTGCCACTTTACCTCGATAGCAACACTTTACCACATACCACGTCATTGATAGCAACCATTTTGTAAATCAATTTTCATTTGTCAGGCCTTATTCACAGTGTGCGAAATTGCAGTATTTCGCAATTTCACGCCAATCAAATAAATTAAAAATAGGAAATAGTTATTTTATTTCTGGTTATTATAAAAATTGATAATATAAATATTAACTTCTATTTTTTGCGTTTGCCGGATAGACGAATCGGAATGTTGATCCAGGACAACCCCGCCTGAAACAATAAAAAGCGAACGTTCTTTAAAGTGTCGTGTAGAAGAACCTTAAACCTTGACAATGTCAATGCCATGAAAACTTAAATTGGTATTTCAAATTTCTATCAAAATTTAGGAAAAAATATCTTATGAACACAGGATTTGAAACAGTTATATTTAATTGATTTACCTTTTCATAAAAAAAAAGCCACCATGAGGTCCTCATTTGGCACTTCTTCCACGTTATTCATTAATTTCCATTGACGGAATTGGTCATATTCTTTCTCATACTTTGATTTTGATTTCTCAGGCAGCAGCCTTGCTGTAGCAGCACGAGCTGCTTCCAAAATCTTCGGATTCATTTCACTGGACGCCATAGACTGGACACGGTTCCGAAAATTCTTTCTGATTTTTTGTTTGAATCAGAGATAAATACTATATAAACTGTCGAGAATGGAATCTCAGTGTAAATTTTGTTGTCAACAAAATTGAGCCAAACCAGCGCCATCTACCACATCGGAAAATCACTATTTACTGGTTTTGCATCGATGCTACAGACACCTACTTTACATAGGACTTTTTATGATAGATGGCGCCTTGTTCGCATTACTGTCGGTCTGTTCAAATTCGTTTATTCTAGACTTTGGGGCATTAATGTTTGCTTAAATTAATTGATAATTTGTTAATTAGATCAAAAGACAGTTTCTTTATCGATGGTTAAGGGATCCTTAACATATTTATTCAAAGTTCTGATTGATGTTTAATTGAACCTGTCATTTATCTAATCAACAAAGATAAAAATAGATCTTCCAATCTATAAAGTCTGAAGTTCTTCTTGAAACACACAAAACAACTTTGAAATCACTTAAGAACACTTGACAACACAAAGAAAAATGAAATGCAAGACCGGCGAACAAAAAACATTATGAATTATTAGTTAAGATCAAATGAATATTTTGGCATATTGTCATATGTTGACATGTCAGTTATCGACATCGGACGTGTTCTGGATGTGCTGGTATTTTCCAATTTTGACAATTCTGTGGTTTTTAGCGACATCTAGAAAAACGGAAAAGAGTTATTTTGTGGTTTATAACTGGCAATGAGAGATCGCAGGGCCTGGTTTGAATAATGTCACTGGTTTCTAAGTTGTTGAAGTATATTGATACTATCAAAGTGAGTAGTTTTTTTAGATTGTGTTCATAATACACTATCTATACATATAAAAATCGATGTTTGTTTGCTTTAGTGATAACAAATTTCACTAGACATGGCATTTCAAAGTAAAACGAAAGTTAATAGCGGCAACCCTGTTTAATTAATTTCACTATAGTGCAAATTCCATTCAGCATGAGACACTTGCACCAACTGATCCAGTTCCAGGTTTTGCTAGAAGAGTCGAGGAACGGCAATGGTCCCTACTCAGTGGCCCTTCCTTTCCTTAGTCATATGAACTACATACTCCTAGTTTCAAGGACATTAGTCGATGGTCTTTAAAATATGACGGTCAAGGAAGTTTGTCGAACTTTTTAGAAAGAGTTGAAGAAATGCGTTTTTCTAGAGGAGTTTCTAAACAACAATTACTTCGCTCGGCTCCGGAACTTCTTACAAAAGATGCCCTTCTTTGGTATCGAACTGGTGTTTTTAGTAGTTGGGACGACTTGGTCACTCAACTCCGTGATGCCTTTATGTCATATGACTACGAGTTTTCGCTCTGGGATGAGATTCGGCAAAGGATTCAGGGATCTCATCAGGAGAAAGTCATGA